ATTGGTACCTTCAGATGTATATGGGTGATATACAGTATGTGCTTCTGCTTCTCAAGAGTCAAGATCAAACAAAATGGATTCTATATCAGGACTGATACCAAAAAGCCATGTACTGCATATAAACACTTAAGAGAAAATAATACATTTGTGCTTCTTTTACATAAAATAATACAATAATGTACTTGTGGAAGCTAATATACAATATAAATATAAACAAAGGTATCTATCCTTCCATTTAGCTTTGTGTTACACTTACCCATGTAGGGTTTTGTTCCAGCCATTGAAGTAGCCTTTTCTGTATCTTTTAGAACAGTGGCAATATTGAAGTCTGTAATGTGAACATGTCCTATAAAGAAAGGAAAAGGTTTGTTTATATACTGTATACTTACTGAAAACGAAAATTGCATAAAACATTTGAGCATCGTGTTTTTATAAGCTCACAGCAACAATAATAACAACAATAAAGACACAGCTGCACACCACATATTAAGTCAAATTCAGGACAAAGAGTATCTAGAAAAGGTGATCTAATAAACTATGGTAGTATGATGAGTGTAACGAAACAGTTCCTTCAGGGCCCTATGCAGACAACACAATCCGGGGTGAAGTGAGATAACACAGGGAAAAAAGGCATGCAGGAGTCGGGAATGAAAACAGGGGGCATGTCCATGGTGCGCTGGTGTTCCGGAGAGTTGTGGCCGAGGCAAACAATACTGAAAAAAGTCCAAGGGGAAATCCAAATGGAGGCAAAAGTCTAAACCGGTGGTCCATCCAAGACAAACAAGATTTTAAGACTGGGACCAGGCACTTCCAGGTCCCAGACTCGCCTGGTACGGAAACCAGAGCAGAGTCCAGAATAGAGTGAGCGCCTGGCTTTTAAGGAGAACTGAAAAAGGAGTTGGAACAGGGAGCAGGTGTGCGAGATGAGTGGAAAACAAGGAAGGGCTGGAGTCTCCTAAAGAGGAGGGGTATACGAACGTGACAATGAGATATGCCGTAAAAGAGGAGTCTGGCTCTAGAAGTTTTAAGTGTTTTGCATCTGATGAAATTTTAGGTTTAGAGTTATGTAAATGTTCCACATTATATTGGGTTATTTGGGGTTTTCATTTCCTCCAGCAGCTTTTTTTTGGTATCTGTGATATGAAAAACTGATTTAAATTGACCATTTCATCATTTAAAAAATTAAATGCAGAATTTAATTCTTAAGTGCGGACTAAAGTATTAAATAAATTAAGATAAATGTTTTTTTTTTATTTGATCTGCTTCTATTTACTGATCACCCAGTGTTTTATGCTGTCAGCTGGTAGACGCCAAAGAAGAAACAATATGACGTTGGCCGCTTGCAGTGAGAGAATACTGTAGTGTTGTTTAAAGGAAATGATGTAAAAAAATCTGTATCCACAGTTTAAGGTTTTAACCTCGGGGGAACAGTCATTATGGAGCACTGATTCATTAACGTCTAAGGACATTAAAATTTGACATGTATATTCAGAAATTAAGGTTCCTTTTCAGCTTATTAACCAATCAGGGCACTGCTTCACGTAAGCAGTGATATTAGCATTGAGTCACTGTGAATCAGCAATATGTTTGCAATGCCTCCTTATGATGCTGTCTTGTGATTCAGATTTTCATCATCGCAAAGTGATCGACGATATGGATTTCAGAATGGACACCAGAATTATTTTGGAGGGGTCATTTAAGATATTGGTTTCATTTCAGACAGAAACTGAAGTTTCTTGTGGGTCCTAACAGATCCATCAGTCTCCCTTTAATTAGTGGAAGTTTTTGTTATTCATGAAAATATCACTACCTCATAACTAGAAAAAGTGTGATATTTTCATAATCCAGCTGTATTTGCAGAGGCACTGTAACAACAGCCCCAATTCACAACATTAACATTTTACTCAATTCTAGGGGCTTCAAAAGAACAATACTCCCTAACGGCAATACCTGAGAATGTCTAAAGAGTAAGAGCTTACTAGCTAAACACCAGTAACGTAGTTAGCTGCACTTCATCATCATTAATCATAAAAAACAATAGGAAGGAGCATGCTAATTTATTCACCAGTCATTAATCATTATCATCTTTAATCATCTCAAAATCAGACCTTTTACCTCATACAGAAAAAAAACAAGGTAATAAGGAGCAGTCCATAAATACACTACATGCAAATACATCTCTATCAAAGTCACTGACATAAAGAGGAAAATTGACATGGAGCACAGAATCAATTTAATCCAGAATGGACAGACACGTATTGTTATAATGGACTAAAACGTGGTGCTTTCTCATGCCTTGAGTGATACAGTGAAGGAAGAAAGAACACACCATGCATTGCTACTGTAACTTCAAGAGAAAGCACTCACAACTCGAAGAAATGCAAGGTGCAAACAGAATGAAAAGCACATCAGCGAAAACAAAAGTTAAAAAACTGAAATATGTACTGTAAATACAGTATTAAGGCGCATGAGCTCATCATTTGGTGGAAGCACCAGTGGCAGTAATTATAGCGGCAAATCGTATTAGGTTTTTATAAGGTTATAAGTGGTAATCTTATTACCTCCAGCTTGGTACAATTTCTGTCTTTTCTTCTTGGTAGATTTGCTCAAACTCTGTCAAGTTGCTTGGGGATCTCTTATGGACAGTAAGGACTATGACTGTGTCGTTCAAGGACATTCACTGTTTTATCCTTAAGCCAGTGTAACTTTGGCCTTGTGCTTTATTCTATTGTCCTGCTGAAATGTGTTTTTTGAGTTTTAGGGCTGAATCATGTTTTTATCTAAGGTTTGACAGTACTTTAGTACATCAATCTTCCCATCAGTCTTGACAATTTTTCTAGTCCCTGCAGATGAGAAGCAGAACGACATCATAATACTGCCACTTGTCTGTAGGGATGGTGTTGACTGAGTGATACACTGTGTATCTTGTCACATATTTGTACCATCACGTAGGTGCTTTGATGCAAACTCTAATGGAATTAGAACGGGAATTTGCTAACACTCTAGCCAGTGACGAGATTATCGCCATATTCAACTCTAAGCCCCAACGGCTATGTGTGGTCTAGAAGGCCAAAACCTCACAACAGAGGTAAGCACTGATTGTTTATTTGTGTGTGTCTGCCGTGGCACAGTAGCGTTCGGCAGCCTAGGTAATTGTTGCTTAACCTGTGTAAGAGACAGACAGTATGTACTATATATATACCGCTCAAGTATTGGATTGTTAATTGGAGGGGTGCCCCTATGCTGGTACGATGGTCAGTTAGAGCCTGGGCCACCCACTTGTGCACAGGACCATCCACAAATCAATTCCTGGCTACGCCCCTGCTCCAAGTGCCAAGCCCCTTTGTGGGCTGACTGATCTGGATATCATTGACCCATGGACATTAAGCCTGCAGTAGGCAGTACCTTGGTGTCTGCCACTTGATCAAGTTCATCATGTTAAGAGAGATATGAATATTATTTCTGAGTTGTTTTAAAAGCTTCTTGGTCTTCGTGGTTCATATCTTTTTTTAAATTCATTATCTGTCTCTTATAGAGAGAAGTCTATTAATTTCGGAAAACATGGGAAGCACTATTATTGTTGTCAGAGTTTAATCAGATAATTATGTGGCTTCTTAAGGTACTTTTGGGCACCTAAACTAAATAAGAGCTGCCACTGGAAAGGGTTGGATTACTTATGCAATCATAACTTTTCCATTGCAGTTGGAGAGATGGCACTGTGGCTAAGGATCTGCGCCTCTGGCTGAAATGTTGCTGGTTCGTATCCTGTGGCTGGCAGAGGAATCCTACTCCGTTGGGCCCCTGAGCAAGGCCCTTAACCCCACCTGTTCCAGGGGTGTTGTATAAAAGGCTGACCCTGTGATCTGACCCCAAGCTTCTTTCCCTGTCTGTGTCTCTCATGAGGGCAACTTGGGGTATGTGAAAAGACAAATTCTTAATACAATAAATTGTATATGGCCACTAAAGTGAACTTATCTTACTCATATTGTCACACACAATGCAAGTAAAGCAAAATGAAGAGTCTGCTCTGTCAAGGTTCCAAGGTTAACAATGTACTGTAGGTAGGTTAGGTCCCCTTTTCAGCCCATAAGGGCCCACGGGGGAATGGGGCACCATTTGTTTCAACCATGGAAGCGGAGGTGATGTGGTCAGCACCACGCTCCATCCAAGGCTAACTATTGTTCCCAAATGGTAGTTTCTAATACATGTTACTGACTTCATGCCCAGGATTAACATTATGGAAGAGTACTCTTCAGGCGAAACACGGGAACAGTTTTAGAGACTTTCAGTAAGATTTCAAAATATTTCAGTTACATTTCTATGCAGAGAGAGGACACTGGAAATTCCATTGAATTCAACTTACCATGCTCATCGAGAAGGATGTTATCTGGTTTTATATCTCTGAAAGGAGAACAAAGAGAACACTTGTAAAGCTGGAAAATTTCACAAGAGCTGAAGATGAAGTAATTGAGTTTCCTGCATTAATAGAGTGAACTCCATGGAGACAATGGGAGTAAGGATAGGAAACCCAGCATCCCAAGAGTAATTCTAGCAAGTTTCAATTTGAGGACTGTATTGTCAGCACCCTTTTAAAGACATAGTACAGTTTTTGTTACAGTTGGTGGTTTTTAGATTATTGAATTCAAGTTGTGTTTGAATAAATGTTGATCCGTGTGATTCCTGCACAAATTTACTTTCAATACACATTAGTTCAGACATGGGTGGCACAGTAGTACAGTGGTTAGGATTGCTGTCTCACAGTACTGGTTTTCATATCTGGGGTACCATCTACATGCAGTTTGTTCTCCTTCTTGTGCGCATGGAGCCTGGTGAACCCTAAGAATTGAATTATTCTGGGGGAATCCTACTGTATCTTAATGTAGTGTACAACAGTGGGTTTACTACCATTTCCATCTTCTCTACTAAAGTTTCTTAGGATACATGGGGTTTGTGTAATCACTGGGACACTACCATGACATCTTAGCTAAACTTTCAGCATGATTCTGTGTTCTACCACATTACTACTACAATAATTATCATTATTGTGAAGAAACATTCATGCATTTTCTATTAATGTATGACCAATTAAGCCACCTGATCTCATCACTGCAAATAAGTGATTCAGGATGCTATTTAAAAATGTTGGTGTACTCAGTATTATACTGTATATACTGCACTATAATGATCACAAGAAAATATATTTTCTTGTGAACACCAACAGTTGAATGTGCAGCAGGTCTGTTGTTTGTATTTCTACTGTATGTATGATAACTGTTATTTGTAATGGCCATGCACACTGTTAATGTGCTATTTATTGAGTTAAGCAAAGTATTAAACACGATTTGTGTCAGTAAACTGGTGCTGTTAACTTATTTTGACTTTATTATGTATTTTTTAAAGGATACTGTTTGTCAAAATGTTTATGGCACATCACATAGTATAAATAGCACACACAGATTATATATTGCTTATGTACATACTGTACATGGTCCTTGTTGGGTTGTATAGGCTATTAAATACAAGCAGTAGCTCTTGTCAATCAATCTGTACTAAACAACGGAATTCAAAGTTGTTTTAGATGAATATTTGAACAGCTTTTAGATGAGCAATTTACCTTATCATCTGTTTTAAAATCTCAATTTTCATTTCAATTTACATTTTAGTAATAAATACAGTACATTTGTATAACCTACAAAACAATTTCCATACAGTAGTTAGGGAAATATCAATCTGATATTCAATAATTAAAGTGCAGTCAAGGAAAGATATAACCATACAATTCAGACCAGCCTTTTCTTATACAGAATAATTTATTTTAAGAATTACCTGACATTTTGACTTTAGGTTCTTCATCGGATTCATCAGGGGTTATTTGAGTGCCCTTTTTGGAGTGTGAATATTTTTCTGGATAGCTAAATATTATTTTAATATGTTTGGTATAAACAGCATTTCTGTTGAATTGAAGTTTAATTATTAAAGCACACAATGAATCATCCTCATTTACAGATATAGTTGTCAGGGGTGGGGAAATGCAGTTCTTCAGGTCCCTGAGATGCTCTCATTTCTATTCCACCTCTGATTAAATTTTTTATTTGAACTAATTATTTGCATAAGAAAGAGGGTCCTCTTTTCAGGCTTCAATTAGTTATTAATTGTAAAACTAGCTGTAACAACTGAAGGAGTTATTCAGCTCTACTCCAGAGAAATTGGGTTGTGGTAGTTTTCTCCAGTTCATATTACTTACTAAACCTTTAATGCCTGTAAGGTAAAGTTACTTAGACTACCTGAATAACTAATCAGTGATTAGTTGGAACAATGGAACAGCTAAATGACTATGAACTGACGTACTATAAGTGGAAAATTTTATTTGTGAGCTTTTAACTACTCTTATTCCTTTTAATAGATGATTGAGGTAAACTACAAGCTACATTAAAGCAAGCATTAAAAGGGTAATATTTTAATACTATGTTTAATTTTTCAAATTTGGTGACCTACCAAAGTTAAGAAACAGGCTAGTCTTTGTGGGACCTTCCATCACAAATATCACAAAACTCTTCTAAGAACAAAACAAAAGCCAGAAAAAGATAATAAAAAATTACAGGATGAGGGAGATGTTACAATAAATAACAAAAAAAAATCCAGTCCAGATTTTAGGTTTACCTGACGGAGAAGGTAAATAGTTCTATTACCATTGGATCTTTATACAATCTTCTCCTAGAGTATTATATACTGAGATTTTCCTTGGTTCCTATACAATGCCTAGCAGTATTCTGAACAAATTGTACATGAAACACAATACATTCAAGGATATCTGAGAAAATCTGTCAGATGTGCCAGGGGGCATTTCTTCAAAACACTTTGCTATTAAAGAAATGGAATAGTGCCATAAATGGAGTATTAAAAAGAATAGCAGAATATAACATAACCAAGAGTGATAATACAGGAATCAGAAACTGATTGAGTATTCAGCATACTGTAGCTAGTGTCTGGTTTAAAGTCAGCAAAATAACTTATAGTGTGGTTGGTTGCCTTTTTCTACTTGTTGTCTACTTGTTGTGCTAACTTATTACGGAGGGAAATAAATTCTCCTCAGCCCTCCAGAATAAATACATAAAATGTACCGCAAATTTGACCGACTTCATAAGAATTTCTGTATCTCTTTAAATCAGCCTCAATTCCTAGTTTCAATTGTATTGTGTTTCTTTGTTCTGATACATTGATGAAAGGAGACAGAATTAATACTAGTATTTCATTCAGTGTGTAAAAAAAGCAAAACACCAGCAATACAATAACAGTCCAACAATAAAAACACCAGTGAAAAAACTAACCAAAGATCCAAAACTCTAGAAAGTATTTTAGCAGGCCATGAAAACAAGAGAACACATTCTGCTTTTTATGGTACTATTATTATCAATGCTATCCATCCATTTAAAATCCTTTTTGCAGTACAGGGATGCGGAGGAGCCATCTCTACAAGGAAGGGGTGCAAGGCAGGATACACCTTGGACAAGATGCCAGTCCATCTCAGGGCACACAAAGACACAAACACACTCACACCATGGCCATTTGTTTCCAGAAGCCAATTAACCTAGCAATACTGTATGTCTATGGGCAGTGGGGGGAAACCAGAGATTTCAGAGGAAATTCACACATACTGTACTGTACTGTACTGTACACAAACACACAAACCCTACTCAGGCTGCATCACAGGAATTGAACCTAGGGTCCCAGTGCTGCAAAGCAACCACACTAACCATTGCACCATCATGCATTATTAATGCTAATAAAATAAAAAATAGATTGAATTATCTAAATATCAAAGGGGGAAAGGGGGCACAGTGGTTAGCATTGCTGCTTAGCAGTGCTAGAGCCCTGGGTTCAATTATGGTCCCAAGTTGCTATCTGCATTGAGTTTGTATGTTCTCACCATGTTTGCGTGGGTTTCCTCCAGGTGGTCTGGTTTCCTCCCACAGTACAAAAGCCATGCTGGTAGATTAATTGTCTTCTGGGAAAATTGCCCCTGGTGCGAATGTGTGTGTGTTTGCTTTGCTGTGTGTGTCCTGCAAAGGACTGGCATTCTGTCCAGGATATAGTCCAGCCTGCACCTGTTGCTGTTGTTAGAAAATGGATGGATATACATTTCTTTTTTTTTCCTTCCCACTACAGGGTTCTGGTGAAAAAACCTGCCTGATTTTAATTTCCTGCAGCAATGAAAAATCTTTCAATTTGGAATTAAAATATATATATATATTATGTTAGTCCATAAAAGTAACTATAGTGTTTCAGAAACCAGTGAGACATTATTAAAATGTACCAATTATCTGTCAGCAGCCTTATGTCGCCTGAAGCATCTATTTCAGGAATAGACAATGCCAGTCAACACATTTGTTTCTTTCCATCTCAGACCTTAATGACTTAATTGACCTAATTAAGTGGATAAGAATGCAGATCATCTGTGTCTTCCAAGTTTTAATTAGGAGCTTTCGACAGATGCCTCCAAAACCTGCAGGAACCAAGCACTTAAAAACCGGAGTTGCCTAACCTGATCTAATTGTTATAAATACGCAGAAGTACTCTAGGTTTTCGGCAATGAAAGACAGCATCTGCGTCAGCTACTAGATAGGATAGGAAGTCTTGGACAAACCAACTGGTCTTACTGGTTGCCAATTTCTAATCAGCCATTGCATCAATAATCCATTACCAACAATACAGAACATCTGCCTAATTCATCCCTGGTTGGCTGTTTGAGTAATCTGTTAATAAGAGATGAATGCCAAGTGAAAATTGAGCTGCATTACTGTTATTCTGGGAATGTCAGTGGTATACTGAATTTTCTCTCGTCTAGTATTAATTCTATCCCCCATTGGTCACAGTTGTTTTCAAACATGTACAGAATTTCACCAATAGACACCAATTTATCAAACTAATTGCCCTAAAAATTCCAGGATGCCATCTTGCTTATGGGTATGTACATTTAATATTGAGAACAGCAACTTTTTTCTAGAACAAGCCATGCTATCAAACCTGATAGGACCTACAGTAGCTTCTTTAAAGAAATGGCTGAATAATATCTTTGTATCACCTCCTCTCATTTGTAGCCCTATGTTTTTTTGACTTTCGCAACTATTACCCTAAGTGGTTGTTTCATGGAAGGTGTTTTAATAACAAATAAAAGACTGAGATTTGTAAGAAGCAGGCAAAGCTTGTTGCTCATGTATTTCATTCTTCAGCTGTACAGAATAGACAGCAAACAAAACAATCCTATTTTTCATACAATGTAAGACATGAAGGTACTGCAAACTAATTAATAAATATTTTACAGTGCTTAATATATAAAAAAACAAATTTGTATCCTAACTATACAACTACAATAAGTAAGTAATTGTGTGAAAGCAGAACTC